TACAAAACCGTTGGCAGCTACAAGATGTCCCGGTTGCTAACACCTCCTTTGCCCCAACCCATTATGAACTCCGGTTCTGCCCCCCAGTATGAGTGGGCATCTCAAAGATGGCATTCACAAGCGACTATCACTCTCCAGCCACCTTCTACAAAGTGAAAGACCTGCAGCAGACATTTGGCAAGGCAGAAAGCCTTAGTCCCCCTGCCTGAGCAGCAAGAAGTCATTATTCTCCCCACCACCACCCCATGTGAAGTGAGGGCAGTGGGAGAGCTTCCGGAATAATCCCATTGACTACTTTGCATTAGTGGTACTGGGGGACACAGTCCAGTGCGGTGTTCCATTCTGGGCACCATGTTTTAAGGAGAATGCAGACAACCGTCTGATAGGAGCACAGCAAGGATATCCTATTTCTGTCCCACACAGAGCAGCATTGCCTAAGTCTACGGAAGTAATTGCCCCACATTTATTTAAAGTTAGTTTTTTCTTTTTACATGGATTTAATTGAGTCATTTGTATTATTCACTGACAGTGGAAAAGTTGGCAGAGTCTGATTTATCAAAAGATCCATTTACTGGCCACCTGGAGGGGTTTCTTAGTCATCATAGATGACCAGCTGAAAGGCAGCTTGCAAGTCCACATGCTTGTTCCCATGATCATGTCCACCTTTTGGGTATGTTGAAAGACAAAACAGACATGTGGCCACATCGATAGCCATGGAGGGGAGGGGGAAGGGTGGACCCTTTCATCTTTAGCTTTTGTCTTTTAAGAAGTGGCTCATACAGGCATGTGGCATCTTTGCACTGCACTCCCCTTTGAACTAGGGGAGTTTGTGCATTTCCTAATGCACGTTTCTTTTCCCCCTTTTTGATCAGAGAGGCACATGACAAAAGTCAGAGAAACACAACATCTGAAGAATGACAGGATTTGTAGGGTGGCATCAGTGGTCCCAATTTTCAAAAAGGGTAGTAGAAGAGACATGGGGAATTACAGACCGGTTAGCCTTACGTCCATTGTAGGAAAAACAATGGAAAGGCTCATAATAGAGAGAGATCTAGTGATGCTAGATAGGGAAGAAAGGCTGACAGCCACACAATACGGCTTCCGCAAAAACAGGTCCTGCCAGACAAACCTTGTGGAATTCTATGACAAGGTTTAGAGATGGCTAGATGGAGGGGATGCAGGGGATGTGGTATACCTGGATTTCAGCAAGGCCTTTGACAAAGTGCCCCATGATATCCTGGTGGAGAAACTGAGGAGTTTTGGGATACACCAAAGCACTGTCCGGTGGATTAGGGCATGGTTGACTGACCGAAAGCAGAAGGGAACCATTAGTGGGGAATCATCGGGATGGCGGCCAGCAACAAGCGGGGTCCCTCAGGGCTCTGTCCTGGGGCCGATCCTGTTTAATCTTTTCATTAACGACATGGAAGAAGGGGTGAACAGTCTGCTGATCAAATTCGCAGACAATACTAAAACTGGAGCAGTGGCCACAACTGAGGAGCAGGTACTCCAGATCCAAAAGGGTCTGGACAGACTATGGAAGTGGGCAGGAGACAACAGGATGGCGTTCAATGTGGATAATTGCAAGGTCTTGCACTTGGGGCATAGGAATAGCTGTCATAAGTACAGGATCGGGGACAAGTGGCTGGAGAGCAGCACTTGTGAAAGGGACCTTGGGGTACTGGTTGACTGCAGGCTAAACTTGAGTCAGCAGGGTGATGCAGTGGTGAAGAGGGCAAACGCCACCCTTGGTTGCATAGCCAGAAGTGTGGCTTCTAGATTGAGAGAGGTATTACTACCACTCTATATGACTCTGGTGCACCCGCAACTGGAGTATTGTGTTCAGTTTTGGGCCCCTCATTACAGAAAGTATATAGCCAGGTTGGAGTCAGTGCAGTGTAGGGCCACAAGGTTGGTGGCCGGTTTGCAGGGGATGGGGTATGAGGTGAGACTGAGAAGAGGAGACTCAGAGGGGATCTGTTGGCGACATACAGGTATGTGAGGGGGTGTCACGTGGAGGTGGGTAGAGACCTGTTCTCCCCTGCAGAGGAAGGCAGGATGCGCTCCAACGGAGCAAAGCTCAGGGAGCCAAGGTTCCATTTGGATGCCAGGAAGCACTTCCTGACAGTCAGGACCACGAGGGTGTGGAATGGGCTTCCCCGGGAGGTTGTTGAGGCCCCATCGGTGCGGGTGTTCAAGGATAAGCTGGACGTGCCCATGGTGGGCATGTCGTGAGCCCAGCTGGCTGGTGCCGGAGGTCAGACTAGATGGCCCGGGAGATGCCTTCTGACTCGCTCTGTTTCTTTGATTCTATGTGTGAAAATGGATGGAGAACAGCACTCTGGTTCTCATGCCTGGAAAGTGTGAATTAGGTTGGCTTACCAACGAGTGGCCCAAGCAGCCCCCTCCCACTCTGCTGCCCCTGCTCGGACAGCCAGCCTCTTGTTGCCCTGAGTTGCCACATCAGGACACCTCTCATTTTTCTGCCTCTGCTCCACAATGATGGGTGCTCCCTGTAGGGATGGGGATGGGGAGACAGCATGCCCTGCGTTCGGTGGAATTAGTTTGGCTCCAAACATTTACCAAGGGTAGAAAAGAAAGATTGTTGCTCAGCACCAATTAAGGAAAGAAGCAGCTCCATGGCTGAACACTTCAGTCCCTGGCACCCCCGGTTTAGACGGATCTGGGGTGGCAAGGCTAGGAGATACTGCTCCGTGCTGAGGGCCTGGAGAACTGCTTCCAGCCAGCAGATACAAGGTGCACCACTGCGCAGGTGTTGTGGGGCTTGTTCCCCAGAACCCCCACATCACGAACTACCACAAATAATGGAAGCTGCAGTTTAAAGTATCTATAGGATTCTGCAGTAGGCAGCAGCTGGGTCCACACAGCACAATAAGCCACGGTGACTTCTAAGCCAGCTGTAGCTTGCCATTTCACCTGAGTCCAGCAGTGTGGCTTGACAACCACTCATAAGCCACGCTGGCACAAGCCACCCCATCAACGATCAGACTCCACAGGCATGACACCCCACAGTCAAGGCAGGAGTTTGGGCAGAGCGCAGGCTGCTGTTGCACTGTGGGCTGCTGTTAAACTGCCCTGCGTTGCCTGATCCCAGCCAAGTGAACAAACCATGGTGGACAACCACAGATCACAGTGCAGCAACAAGCCATGGGCCGTCTTCGTGCACCGCTCACGTTAGCAAGCCATGGCTTGCTGGTGCAGCTGGATTCAGGTTACTTGATACCTCACATTGCAACCATAACCAATCCTCAACACTTCAGAGCTGGCTATCCCGTTGCACAAACCCACTTGGTCTGGCTCAGAGTAAGGCAGTTTTATAAGTCCGGGAAATCTCGGAGTGCAGAAGTAGGGCGCATGCTGGATACACAGTGGGTTCCAGGCTCAGATCCTGGCACGGACAGCTAAAGGGACTTAAGTGGCCCGGCTGGGAAGATTCCTTACCAAGAGCTTGCAGAGCTCCCGACAGTCAGAAGAGGCACCTCAGGAGATCAGTGTCAGCAGGACCAAAGAAATTGAACAGGAATGGTTTTGTCTTTCGCAGTCACAAAATTGTAAGACGCGTTCTCTACGAAAGGTTGAATTGTTCAGCGTAGCTGTCAGCAGGAGAGGAACCCTGACATGTTCCCTCACGATAGTTAATTACTCCACTCTACACTCCCATTTGTCTTGCCTCGGTCCTCATTGTGCAAAGGAACACATTAGCATAATCCAGCACAAAGCTTTTCACCCTCTCTCTGTTTTTAAATGTACAGTCACGCAACATCGAAGTGTCACCCTCTGGGCTCCTTCCTATAAGCACCTCACATGCATTTATCCGAACTAGAATCCTCACTATTGTCTGACCTGGTTTGCATGTAATGAGCAGCTACCTCTGCGAGTTTCTCTGCAGGGCTTTTGATGCCTGGGGCAGCAGCCACCCGTTTGCACATTCAAGGCATGACAAGAACTTCTCCTGATGTGCGAATTCGGGAATGCGGCAAGGGTGGCTTGTCAACTGCCCCAGCAACCTGCCTCGCCTCGGTGGAGAAGCTGTCGAAGCAAGGCTTGAATTAGCAATCTTTTTTCACAGATGAATAAGTCATGGTGAGCGGTTGGGTTCATGGAAACCAGTCTTTGTCTCCTTACCACCCCCAACCAAGGAATTCCTTGGCAGGTCACCAGTTCCTCACTGAAAAGACCAGTAAGGGGACTAAATTTCCTTGAACCAGTATTATCATTATCATTAAAATGTATAAACCTTACCTATAGACCTACTTGGGCTCTCTGGGTCATGTACAGTTCCATTATAATACCAGCAATAAGCTACATATAATCCATAATACAGCACAATATAAACAGGGTAAAGTAGAATAAGTACATCAGTTAGAATTCTCTCTCTCTCTATGTGTGTGTGTGTGTGTTTTGAATTAGAAAGATAGACAGACAGACAGACAGATAGTTAGATAGATAGACAGATAGCAATAAAAGTCAATTATTAAAATATCTGGAAAATTGAACAGTCTTTGCCTGGTGCCAAAATGCTAGTAAGGAAGATGCCAGGAGAACATCTTTGGGGAGCCTATTCCAGAGGCAGGGTGCAGCCACCGAAAAGGCCCTCTTTCTATTTGCCACTCCTCTCACCTCCTTGGGAGATGGTTCTTTAAGGATGAACTCTGAGCCAGATCTTAGTGGATGGGTTGGTACATAAGGGAGTAGGAAAATTGGTACAAAATGGGAGTAGTGGCATTGACTCACAACATCTGTCTCTTCCTGGACAGCTGGGAAAGAACTAGTATCTTCACTATATTCACATCTTCAGTCACACAGGGCCATCTTGCTTCCTTCAAAGGTGAGTCCACGTGGAAAAGATTATCTGAATCTTTTCTACCATGGCCACCGATCTACATTTTCCTTTGTTTCACTCAGAAACCTTGGTTATCCCTTGGCAAGAAGCCTCCAGGGAAGGACTACTTATTGACCAGTATACAAAATTGGTTTACCTTCATAGGTTGCTTTGAAGCCCAGCAGGTTCTTCACACTGTCTGTCTGGAACAGAAGCCACATCTGATGTTGGGTGCTGACGATCAGATCAGGAACTGTTGTACCTGTTAAGCTGTCAGAAAAGAAGAGAAAGGAGAAGTGACCGTGATAGTGATAGTAGCCATTAAAGGCAGCCTTTGGAGACATTAATAGAGGTCAACAGAATTTAAGTAAGGCAGCTGCTTTCACAGAAGGTGGGGAAGAGCTGGCTGGAACTGGGCAAAATGGGGAAAAGAGACCCTGTTGCCAAACCGCTTCGGTGACCACATTGTTGCTGGAAGTGCAGGCTTGAACTGTGTGGCCCCCACCTGTGCACTGGTCCACACTGGCCCCACTGGCCACACACGAGTACCAGAATGGTCAGGATCCAGTGCTGGCGACCCTGGAAAGTTCACTCTCCTAAAACAGGACAGGGAGAACAGCACACCTTACCTTCCAAGCACGAACCACACCCACCCGTTTGAAGGTGCTGAGGAAAAGCAAACCAGTCTCTTGAGTGAGATCAGAGCCACACTTATGGGGCCTGTTATCACCAAGAACTATGCTCAAATTGCTGGATGGAATAAGCCAAGGGCTTTGGCTGTTGGGAAATATAGAATGTGATTGAAAAAACAAAAACAAAATAGAAAGGGATGTCTAGAGTTCAGGCATACCATTGGCTCCTTTGCCCCTCACCTCTGTGTGGCTTGTCCTGTGCCCTGAGCACCTATATTTTGTACCTTCGACCTCCCTGGCCAAGGTGACCAAAGAAAACTGTTTGCCATTCCTTTTCATTTCTATACCACCCAGTAGCTGACACTCCCTGGGCCGTTCACAGCAATTCACAAAATACAAACACAGAGACCATAAAAATAATCTAGCATAAAATACAGATGCAGAAAAAAACACAGCAAAGCAAACAAGCCAGCAGAACACAAGTAGAGTAAAATGCAGCCTAAAACTTCCAATATACAAAGTTTAAAACAGTTCAAACAGCTAAAACAACTTATGAAAAGGAACAGAAGTGTTTGGGGTGGGGACTAGACCTGTGAAAGCAGCTGGCATGCTCCTACCTGTAGCATTAGATGCCTGGAAGCAGAGGACAGTCTTTACCTGTCACTGAAAAGGTGACCATGTGAGCACCAGATGGGATCCAGTGGGGAGATGATTCTATAATCAGGGGGCTACCACTGAGAAGATCTTCTCCTTTGTTGTCACACTTAGATGTCTCCCTTAGAAGAGAATCTCAGAGGAAGGCCCCAGATGTACATTATAATGTTCAGGTAGGTTCAGGCCAGGAGAAGCATTCTAGCAGGTCTTGAAGTCCCAAGTCAAGCAGGTTGAAACTAGCACATTAAATTGTAATCTAATTTGAGATGGCCATTCCATCAGGATTATTCTGCTGGGCCACCAGCAGAAGCTGATAGAAGATATTCCATATCACTGAGGCCACCTGTGCCTCAAGTGATGAAGATGACTCAAGGATGGCCCCCAGGCTATGTATGGGGTAGAGATCTGCATCCAGAATAAGCTGATCAGCCTCCATTTGGTAGGAGAACCAGTCACTGACAGCATCACTGTCTTTTCTGAATCGGGCTTTATTAGCTCTCATCTGGTCCACTGTCACAGTATCGCCCATATACTGTACAATTTACCCAACCCATAGGCTCACCCGATAAAGATGAAAAGGAGAAATGGCCCTGCATGTCAACAGCATACTGATGGAAGTGCAGCCCAAACTCCACATGATCCCACTCAGCAGTTTCACACAGATGTTAAATGACATGGGGGTAAGAGCAGCTCCTGAGGAACCCCCTGCTGTTGAATCTGGGAGGGCAAGCAACATTCCTCAAACACCGTTCTCTGGATGCCTGGGGAAGAGAACCACTGCAATGCAGTACCCATCTCTCCAACCCAGACAGTCATCCCAGAAGGATACCATGGCTGATGGTACTGAAAACTGCAAGAGATCCAGGAGGATCCACACGCCCGTCTCTCCTGACACAGGTGCCCAAGATGTTTCCATGCCAAACCCCAGTCTGGGCCACCTCTGAAATGGATTTTGGTAATCCAAGAACACCTAAACTTAGTTAGCAACTAAGGCTCTTGCCCTGGAAAGGAACATTTTCCACCAGCCTAAAGTTGTTAAGCTCTTACAAGTTCTGAGAAGATTTCTACAGAAATAGACTCCCCATCACTTATTTCACACCCGGGACACTCCCGCTAGCCAAGAGGGGTGATTCACCTGCCTGACCCAGTTGGCTGTTCCTTTGCGAAGCCAAGAAGGGCTAAGTCAAGAACCACTCCAGTGCATGAGTGATTCCACGAGCCTGTCCCTGTGCCTTGTCAACATCCTCAAGCTGTACCAACTGAAGCTCGTCTAAGAAAGCTGGGCCAAGCTGTGCTCAGTGTGACTCACCAGAGTTGCCCTGGATTCCATGTCCTGGCAAAGGAATTTGTCCTGGAAGCACCTAGTGGATTTGTTACAGTGAGCCTCCGGCAATCTGCCGTGTCTTTAGGAACTGCCTGTAATAGGCCCTGGATGACCGTAAGAAGTTCCTTTAGCTAGTGCACAGAAGACTAAATTAAGGCATTGAGATGCTGCTCCTCATTGCTCCACAGTATCTCCACTCAGAGGCACATACTAGGGTTCGAATGCATCCACCAAGAGTTCCTTTCCATCGTGCACTCAGACTGTCTCCTACACCGCTCCAGTATTCTCAGCTCCAGGATATAACATGGAGCTGTTCAAGCTCTGCTGCAGAGAAGATACTGCCCGAGTCATTTCTGTGTTGTAAAGATCAGACAGGGCTTCTATCAGTCATATCAGCCAGGAACCCCCTAGAATCCTTTGGAATCCACCTGGATCCATTAGTCTCTGGGGGAAGACCCTCTCAATAGGACAAATAGCCTTGCAGAAAGGAAAAGCTGGTGTCTGTCCAAAGCTTGGCAGGCAGTGATCTGACTGTGAGAAAGGCAGCTGAAGCCACCCCACTTTCAGACCATCCTCCCATGCCTGGCGAAAAATGAATGAAGGTGTTGTGAATGATGGCTCACTAGGTAAACAACCCACACGTTCATGAGCGATAAAACTAGTCTTTTATTGCTACTTATCGACAAGATTTACAACACTACAGATAAGCTCTACTGTTAAGGTCTTTGCAAGGCAGATGCTAACTCCTTAGTGACGTCTCTCAGGGAGCCCACGTGGGACTAGCTATCCTGGTCCCACCTTTCCCCTCTGAGGCGGGACAAAGCTTCCTTTTGCTCCAATCTGCGCAGAGAATGCCTAAGGATCGCACAGGAAAGGTCTGCTCTGCCTCCTGTGTCTCCTGTGTCGTGCTCAGGAGGTTCAGTGTCAGGAGGAAGGGGGCAGTCTGCTCAGGCCCTCTATGAGCAGAACTCATAGCGCCTTTTCCCTCAGAGCTCCCTTGGTCTGACGTGGGCTCGGCTGCTTGCTCAATGGGTAAAGGGTCAAGATGAGATATGACTATCTGTTCAGCCATTCCCAAGCTAGGTTGTGGGAGGGACATTTGGCTACAGGGTCACAAGCATAAATGCTCCTCATGAGGTGCTGCCTCTGCCGGGGCGTCAGGCATGACAGAAGGAATGAATGTCTGGAGGGCCCTGCTCCATGTGTTGGGCCAATGACATACTGGGACAGTCTGTGATTGTTGGAGATCATGAAAGCCAGCCAGTCAAAGTGCCCTGGGCATAGAGGTTGACTTCCACCCAAACCAAGCACTGCATCCCAGGTCATCCCCATCAATCCAGGCAGGGATCCTGCAGAGTAGTGGGGCAGGCAGGACACCAGCAGACTCCGCAGCTGTCCCAGTGGCCCAGCACAAGGCAGTCTGCACACACATGTGTGCACACATGTGCGCGCGTGCGCGCGCACACACACACACACACACACACACACACTTCTCAGGGCATCTCCTCCTTCCCTGGCCCTCAAGGCTGCCCTGATGCAGAACCAAGTGCTCCATTGGGCACAACTTCCTCTGCTTTTCCACAGACGTTATACATGCCAGATCAGCTGCCTCATTCACTCTGAGATCATGAAGAAGGGCGATGAGGCAACCACCAAACATGGCAGAGCTTTCCACTCACTGCCTGGACCATGTTCCCCTTAACAGGACAGCCCTTCCCCTAATGCCATACCCCCTGTGCCCATCATTACATGCAGCAGGTCTCCTCTATCATCTTCGTCCCAGGCATGTATTCAGGCTCTCAGAAAGAAGCCAGTCCTCCACCAATACTCCACTATTGAGTGGGGAAGCCACATCATGCCCACAGGGCAAGGACACTTTGGCTCTCACCCTTCAGCTCTCACCTCAGGCTCACACCTCCGGCAAGGTCACTCCCCAGCTATCCCCAGCAAGCTGGAGGCTTGATATTCCTACAGGAAGTGGGGCAAAAAGCATACTCCACAATGGCCCCCAGTTGATTCCACTTGAGGTCCAAGGCAAACACACCTTGTGGTTTACCTCTAAGAAACCAAACCTTCAGGGAACCCAGATTCTGTGCGGTGAGTTGGCATTGTCATAAGAAGCAACTCCCTGACCTTTAAAGCTTTCCCCAGCTTGGGAATGAGCATCATAGGACAGATGTCTTTCCTAGCTCCCTCAAGGGCAAAATCTCTCAAGGGAAAGTGCTATGCTACTTTATTCTACATTACTGGATTCATGTTCTACCAAGGAACAACAATCAATACCTAAAGATAATCCACTGGGATCTGAATCAAAGGATCATTAGGCACCCTCTTGCTGCATGGCTAGATCTGCTATGGACTGACCCACTTCGAAATAGCCAGCTCAGTAAGAAAAATGCTGGGATGGAGAGATTTCAGGCTTGTGTGATCTTCAGTTCTGACTGTGACTGTGAAGTCTACCAACTGCCCCGAGTGCCCTACAAGGAGCAGCAAAGAATGCTCTTGAAGCAAAAGAAGAAGTTCATGACTTTACAACAGCACAGAATCCATTCCCCAAGGAAGCTCATCTTTACTACACACTTTAGAAGGTTAACCAAAGCCTCTGCCTCCCATCAGATTTATGGAGAAACAGATTAGAAATGACTGCATTGCTGCTATCT